AAAAGAAGCGGGAAGAAAGAAGAAAAAAAAAATTAAAAATGAAAAAAAAAAAAAAACTAAAAATGAGCATTTGCAACTGCAGCTTGTCTAGTATTTGTAGAATGTGGAGACTGGATGTTTAGAACTAAGATTGTATATTACAATATACTTGTAATTAAAATTACTATATATATAATTAAATTGTTATAAAAATAAAGAAATAATAATATTAATAAAAATAAATAATTATTAATTATATAATAATAATAATATACATTATTTTGTATATTTATATTTTAGATTTTGTATTTCTTATCATACAATTATATTTAAGTTAAACTATCTTATTATCTAATACACATCAATTTCTTAAAATTTAATTTTTTTTATTTTAATTTAAAATTTAATTTAATTTAATTACTTAGTAAATTTATTATTTTAATTACTTTTATATTGTAACAATCTTAGCAATTATTATTTATATGATTTTACATAATAAATATATTTGAATGGAATTAAAATAAAAAATAATTATTTTTGAATAAATTTTAAATTTAGAAAAACTTCAAAACGAAAAAAAAAAATATTAAAAATGAATATACATAAATCGGCGGTTCAAACCGTAATCGAAACTGTCATTCAAAAGGTTCGGTTTCGGTTTAATATTTTGATAAAACGTACGGTTTAAACCGTTTTTGCATACTTGATATAATGTAATAGTGTTTGTAAATATACAACAACAAAACCACACTTGGATGTATTGTGGTACATGAACACCAACAATGAGTATTTCACAATCTCCTTTTGTGTATAATAATTTAATTACATATATATCAGAAAACGTAATAGAGGCACACAAATTATCAGTTAGGTATATAGTTGATCTCTTGAACCACAATGTCATAGTATGGTATTATTGTGCTATCAATGTCAATGAAGTTTCGAAAAATAATAACCGAATTGGTATAAAGTAATCGGAGCTTATTCTGTTGTATCCATTAGACACATACATAATTGATTGTAAATAATACACTAAGACACACGGGAGAATGAACTAACGTATATAGACACGAACAACAAATATGTGATAGTGTTCATTTTTCTATGATACTTTAAAGTAATAGATTTCTAAAAACGTATCAGAGCCATATGAATTATATTTTAGAGTTTACAATTGATGTATCGAAGCACATGCGCGTGGTAGCGTAAGTTCCAATCTATCAAGGTCACTTTTGGTCATATGATAAATCATAACAAGTATTAGCATAAGCTATGAAGTTACACAGTTAGATAACTCTGTCACGATATTATGATGTTCAGTTACATAAAAGACTGCAATAGGTACACAATTAGTAGAATTTCGTACACGAAATCAGGTTGGGGGTACGATTTAGCTGCTTTAGAGTACTCACCTGCTTAGCCGAGTTAGACCCTATGCTTAGATGCCCTTGATCAAAAGTTGTTATATGCGCTACGGTGTGAATTAATATGTAATAGATTTAAAGATTTTCAATTTGTGGTAGCAATCATGTAATCTAACAACCAATATAATTCAACTTAGTCACTTATGACTTTGTTAGACATCTACTAGTTGAAGTTGGACTATAATAGTACATATATCATACAACCTATCTAAGTCATTTTTTACTTGGTTAACCATTCATAATAAATATGTGTTGTTTACCTTTTCTGACAATTTGGGGTGTCACGGGAAAACTATCATAATGAACGCATCTTTAGTTACCGTCAATAATTGAATATTTTGAACAAAAAACGATTGTTCTCCAACCACATGTTATCAGAGCATATATATTCTTTATTGAAGCACATGAGACTATTATTATAAGTAGTTAAGATCCACCTTAGGGTATGTAGATATATTATGTAGGTACATAAGAATGTGATTTGGGTACAAACACCTATATGCAAGGCATAAATAATGGTTTCTTAGGTATTATTTGTGTATTATCGGGTATCTTCAAGTGTAGTTAATTTCAGTCATTTCCATGGAAATGAGTCAATTCGCGTATTCGGTGAGAACACCTCCCTCTCAGCCTTGGTGAACTAAATGTTGTTGTGTGTGCTATGGTGTGGATTACTACGTAATATGTCTAAAAAACAATCAATTTGTGAGAGTAGTGACGCATGAGTAACAACCAACAAACTTATTAACGTCATTTCTTACTTGTTTAGCCATCTGTAGTAAACATGTATTCTTTTCTTTACTTACATATCAGGGAGTCATGAGAACACAATAATGATGAATTTATCTCTGGTTACTACGAGCAATTGAATATGTTGAACCAAACACGGCCAATTTTTCCAACCATATATAACCAGAGCATAGATACGCATTAGCGGAGCATATGACTTTATATTGCAGGTACATAAAAATTGGTATATGCATAAGTGTTTAGGATGTGTGTTTGAATAATTTATTTTTTTTATATATTTACTTTTTAGGTGTGTTGTTATAATTAGAATTATTGAATAAAAAAAAATTGACTCTATTTATTTTTATTGGTTCTTTTAAAAAATTAAATTTATTTTTTTAATAAAATTATATTTATATTTATTTTATTTTCACGTTTTAAAATAAAAAAATAAAAATATTAGTAAAGATTTAAAAAAAAAATTATACAAAATTGTGACATATATAATTAATATAAATATTTTGATAGGAAAAATTATTTAATTTTATTTTCTTGTAAATTTTATTTTCTATAGAATAAGAGTTTGTTTATTTTTTGAAAAAATTTCAACATATTTTTCTACAAAAATAATATATTACACGCACTCATTATATTTATATTATCTACACATTTTTATATATATATACATAGTACGTATTTAAAATGTATAGAATACTATAAATAAATTTTATTACTAATATTAATATTTTAAAAAATTGTATCTTATATATACGATTTTAAATATTTAATAGAATAATTATATATATGGATAAATAGATATTTTGCTAATATTATAGTGACTCATATAATAAAGTTTATATTATATATAATATTTACGTAATATTTTATATTATATTAAATATAATTATGAATTTTGTACAAAAATAATATAAATTATTAATATCAAATTTCTCATTTTATAAGTAGAATTAAAAGAGTAAGTAAACTAATATTGATAAAATAAAATATATAATTATGGTTGATTGTGCACTTTTTTTTTTTTTTGCCAACATTTTTATATCATTATCTTTTTCGGAATATATTAATTTATATACTTCATTTATTGACAAGATTAATTTATTTTTATGCCAAATTTATTATGGCTCTATTTATGCATGTAATATTTGTACGATATCTTCCATTTTAAGCAAATTTTTGCATTAATGGTTGATATTTATTGTACAAAAATTAACATATGTGCATAATTAAATACCATATATTTATTTTATTGGAATTTTATTTTCTTCTAAAATACACGATATTTAATTTAATTTAGGCATTTAATTTTTAATGCCTATATCTACAAATATCCTAATTGTGTCCACTCCTGTGCCAAATTGATTGTTATTTCTTTGTGTCCACTCCTGTGCCAAATTGATTGTTATTTCTTAAAGTGAGATAATAAAATTTTGAATGAATAAAATTGTTTAGTATAAATAAATTATAGATAAGGTTTACGGAAAAAAAATTGCTGAAAGGAGTAATACTTCTAAAAAATTATACAATTTGATTTTAATCAATAATAAGATAATTTCTTAACTATTAATATGAAAAAAAATTTAAAATATAAATAATCACATTTATAAATACCGGTAAGAAATAATATATACTCATATAAAAATATAATAAATAAAATATAAACATAAATCATTCTGGGAAAATTTTAAATTTTAAATTATTAAATTTTTTTGAATAAGATAATTAATTTTGATAGAAAAAAAAAAGAGTAAAAAAAAATATAAAGAATACAAAAATAGAAGAAAAAATAAGTATAAAATATAAATTGCATATAGAGTGTTTAATATAGAACAATTGTCTGCACTCGTTAATCGTGACTAGGATATAAAAATATATAAAAATATATAATATTTTAGAATATACATGATATATTTTGTCAGTCAAATAAATAATAGACAAACTTGATAATTGATATATAAAGAATATATTTTGCAATTTTTTTTTTAATTTTCTAGCTCACCCCACAATAAAATATGATTCTACTTATTATTTTTATTTATTTATTGTTTAAAGATACATAAATAAAGGTACGACATAATATAAATAGAGATATATAAGTGAGATACTTAAGTAAAGTGAAAAATAATATAAGTAGAGCGGGACAATTATAAGTATATAATATAACATTAAGAGTATTTAGATATACTTTAGGAGTACATCAAATTTATACTATATAGATAAAAGGAAAAATATAAAATAAGGACTACTATTAAATTAAATAGGTAAATGAGGGAGTGGAGATCAATTTTTTTATAACAGAAACCGAATTATAACTTAGGGTGTGTTTGTTTGGGGATTTGAATTTGAATAGTTGTATGATGTGATATAAGTAGGTGTTGATGTGATGTTTTGAATGTAAAATTAATTTTTAGTATAATATAAAAAATAAAAAATAGGTGTTTGATTTGATATTTTTGGAGAAAAAAATTGAATAAATAATATAAATCCAACCCAATCCCCCAAACAAACACACCCACCCTTAATAGGACTGACATGATGAACAGACCAACTTTCCCATATATATATCATATGTTGATGGGTGTATTACACCCACCCTTAATAGGACTGACATGATGAACAGACCAACTTTCCCATATATATATCATATGTTGATGGGTGTATTGATTTGACCCGATCAAAGTAATTTAAATTTATATATTTATTATTTTTATATTTTCCTTTTTATTTTTTGTATCAAAAAATATTTATTCAAATTATCTTACCATACCAACAAACCCAATCTAATTTACCAAAACATTATTAGTGATAATTTTCCAACCACGTCAATTAAAAAAACACACAAGACCATATTCAAATGCATTCACAACAGCAATCAAACAAACAAACACAGTCACTCATAGCCCGCGTGCCTGTATGTACAATACTGCAAAATTAATCGGGTTTTAGACAGCCACAAAAACTAATATCTATTCATCTATCTAACAATCCAAGCTTCAAACAAACAAGTACCTCCAGCAAGCCGGGCGATGATCTCTGGACACCAGCAGAACTCGGGAGCCCGCGTAGTCGAAGGAAGGGCAGTACATGTCATCCCCTCCCATCACTTCCTTCGCTTTCTCATCCTTTAAAGCGTCGAAAACGAACAAACCGAGTCCACAAGCGCCCATCACGACGCTCGAATTCCCCCAAACTTGTGTCAATGCCGAGAAGCTGTCGTGAGCATTTGTTTCCGGCAATTGGTATGTGCTTACAAGCTTATGTTTCCGCACCGAGTAAACTTGGATTTCATGCTTCCCCGCCGTGCTCGAACTGCATCCGACGTATACAGAATCCCCATAAGACATAACGGATTGCACGCTCTGTCTCGGTTTCGCTATCCTAAGACCTACGCCCGATGATTGTCTGAAATCCAGTACCACAATCGAATTAGGCGTGCAGAATACCCCGTCGTTCCCTTCTGCTTCCGCTGCGCTAATGCTGCAAGATGTACACAGTCAGTCAAGTTAATCAAAAACTCAGAGATAAACAATCTCAAAAAGTTGGCTAAGCTAATTGGTTTTGTAGTTAATATTTCATCATACCGCCTCCGAACTCCTCCTCCATATCCGGAGTCGGAGTTGTTAATGTGGAGAGCCGAAATTTTCTGACCAGAAGAAGAAACAGTCTGCAACGCAAGAGACGTCGGAGAACAAACATCCCAGAGAGAGATGCCATCCGACCCCGCTGTCGCTACCTTTCCATTGCTTTTCCAGTGCAAAGGGCTCGAATAATCCATAGGCACCACAGGTTTCGACAGCTCCCATTTTACTAACCGCTCGCCATCGCGAATATCATAAATTTGCGCCGTCTTTTGCCAACTAGCTGCGGATGCAATAAGCGGCCCGCAAGGTTTGTACCACCATTGATGGTTTTCAGCAGATGGAGGAGTTGTTCGGTAAATTGGGTCGTTCGACAAAGGAGCAAGAGCTGTTCTTGAAGGGGTTGAGATTCCATCGTCAATATGGAAACAGTTAACATCTTTCGTGTAGAAATCCCACGAGCAGAACCCGGGATCCACCGCATTTCCAGCAGATGCTACCACCACATGTTTCCCCGCACATCCATCCCCACCCGGGGCATGGATTACCCAACAATCTCTCCACGTACTTGACGAGACTCCCAGAGGAGGCTTATACTCAGCCTTCACCTGAAATTACAATAAATTTTTAGATTCGACAAACACAATATCTACACAGGATCCACGGCTAATCTAATGAATCGAGTCGACTAAAAGCTCTACATATGAACTGCATTTTCAATTTTCAAAATAACAAAAGATTCACCTCACAGTTAACAATGTCATAGAATGAACAAGATCCATCGTCGTGAGCAAGAACAACAGACTCTCCTTCAGATACAAACCAACCTGCAGTTGAAGGCTTGAGACCAATATCATTCAATTGATACGTAGGATTCTCTTCAAACTCCTCCTCCTCCTCCTCCTCCTCCGGTTCCAGCACGTCATCTTCATCATTGAAATCACTGAGCTTTTCATCGGCAGTCAGAAAAGCATATAAATCATCTTTTTCTCCAAGCATAGTCCTACTATTATCCGCTTCAAGAATTTCACAAACATCGGCATCAGGGACTGCAGCAACATTTGAAGAAATCACTCTTCTCTTGTCCATGTTCATCAAATCACCAGATAATAGCCCTCCTGCTTCCTCAGTATTCTTAACCAAACTCTTATTATCATCGAATTTCTCCATATCATCATTCTCATCACTTTTTGCAGTCCCCATTACAGTGTCACCATCATCGCTGAACGCACCAATGGCCTTCTCAATCCCTGTAACTCTATGACGAACATCTGAAAGTATCGCCTCAGAATGTTCCATGCTTTCCATGTCCAACATATCTTTTGTCTCCTTTATACACGATGCAATGCGCTTAACCTTTTCATCTAAAAAAGCAAGCTTTTGATGAAGCTTTGCAGTATCCCTGCTTTCGGATTTCGAATGTCTTAAACTAGATTCGCCCTCGGCTCCAACTCCAGTAGACCTCAACTTCATTCCCTCAGAACCTTTGCTTTTCAACGTAATTGTGCTCAAATTCCCATTCGTTTTCTCAGCATCAAAACTCCCAATCCTAATCTTCTTTTTTGCATTCTCTGGATAGTTCACCAAATCTTGTGTAACCTTTACTTCTCCAATTTCAGTGCCGTTTCCATCAATTTCACCCTCTTGTGTTTCGATTTCCTTATTCTCTTGAGAGACACCCTGGAATTCACTCAATTTTTCTCCATCCTCGATTTCCAGATCTTCTGAACCCATCCTCTCAAGATTACACCTTTTATTCGTTCTCTCATTCGAATTATTTGCTTTTATCTGAGGCTGGCGCGCCAAAACCCTAGAACTTCTTCTTGTATCTGGTAACTTTGTACTAAATGGAAGGGGGGCAGATTTCCTACCTCTGGGCGCCGACGAAGCGCCCTTATTGACACGCGGGTCCTCCATGGCCGCCGATTGGAGTTCGTCGATCTGGGAAATTGGATTCAAGTTGCTGCGCTTCTGAGCGGCCGCACGACGGGTTGTGGGCCTGCTATTCTCCTTACCCGCCGATTTCGACATCGTCGATATTGGGGCGACTTTGTCTTCGGCGGAAACTTTTCCGGCTCCTCCGGGGGCGTGCTCTTTCTTCCGGCGGGACGAGGACGACATTAGATTAGATGAAAAAACTGACGCGGAATCAGTAAATCAAATCAAAGGATGTAGTTGGGCCGTGCTACTGAACATAAGTAGAAGTGGAAGTCGAAGTGCGATTAGGTCTTCCTTATTGGCGTTTGCGATAAGGCGGGAAAATGAAAACGTTATGAAATTTGGAAGTCGTTAGAGGTCGGTCAAGCTTATTGAGAACGCGACTTTACCAACACGCGGTATTTGATGGGCTCAAGCTTTCTTCTGTCTATTTTGGTTTGGTGGGGGTGGGGGCCCTCAAGCCATTAAAGATATATTTGTCGGTTCGTTTTTTATTTACTATGTTGAATTTTTTTTTAAAAAAAAAACCAATAAAATAAACGGACAATTGGGCAAAAATCTCTCTGTCCATTTATCATTTGGGATTCAGTCCCTAATGATAAAAAATTGTTCTGCACTCCCCCCTTTTTCCTTCTTCCTTCTTCTTCCTCCCTAATCGTATTTCTCTTCATTCTGTTTCTCTTCGCGCAAAAAATTCTTGTCAAGCCGTTGTCCTCTTCCGTGAGCTCGAAAGCCACATCCCGCACAGGTAAGGTTCTTAATTGTTCGCCCGATTTTACATCGCCGCTTCTTGTCTGGTTCGATTGAAAAATTTCCTAGGGCACTCTCCGAATCCTGTTCCGGTTCCCTGTCGTCGGCGGTCGGTTGATTCGGTCGAAGAACTACCGAAGGCAGTCACCGGTTCCGTGGCCCGTATTTCTTGGTCTCCGGTGAAATTAGATGTACCAAGTGTGTTTTTGTGTCGGTTGATTCGGTCGAAGAACTACCGAAGGCTGTCACCGGTTTCCTGGCCCGTCTTTCTTGTTCTCCGGCGAAATTAGATGTACCAGGTGTGTTTTTGTATCGATATCTTAGTTGAAAAATTATTATCTGGAAGAAAATGTTTGGGTATTATTTTGGGTGATTTTGATAATAAATTTTGTTGCTATTTAGGGTTTAAGGGTAATATTTATTTTGTGAAATGGGTAATGTGTTGCTATTGAGGATCAAGACATTACTAGAATTCCGTAAGAACATATGATTTTAGTGTATTTTGTGTAAGATTATCTAATCGCCCATACGACCTAATATAGTTCATACATTCATCGGTTGGATCGCTAGGTTCCGATGGACATGGAGCAAAGTAGTCTGAAATTATTAATTATATGTTCCTACGAGGGTGAGCATCATGTAATTCGTTTAGAAGAGGGCACCACGCTGGAGGATCTTTACCGGAATATATCGAAAAGATGGAATAAAGTGAGTATTGAGGCGGTAAAACTCCAATATATTGCACCTATTCAGAAAAGCTACGTGACATTATTGTGTGACGATGATGTCGCCAATATGTGGAGAATGCATATCTTGTTAAAGGTAATGTTTGTGGATATGATTGCACGGTGCAGAAGCGAGCACCAGAGCGTGCCTCTCCGAAGCACGGTTGGACGCAGGTACGTTACTCATCATTTGTAATTAAGTAGTCTTTATTAAACTTTGTTATAGAATGCAGTCACAATTGTTCCTTATGAAAGAATGCAGTCTGTAAGCACTTATAATGCAGTATGTAAGAATGCAGTCTGTAAGCGCTTATAATGTCATGTTCAACACATGTAAAAACATATTGTTTATAGGTTACGTTAGTAATAATTCTTTCATGATATTGGCATACAACAATACCGTGGTATATTGTTGCGATGTTGTTTGTAGGTAGTAAGTATCCACCTCCGCGATTTTGTAGTAGCGCGGTGCAGAACGAACCACTGAAGAGATTGTAAAGATATGTAGTGGGGATATAACGTCTTGAAGGTATTTAACGATTTTCACTCCTTCTTCACACGCCACTGTCAATATCCTCTAGCAATCCGGTTTAGGTAGGTGTACCATGATCGATGCGTTGAAATTTCTGTAGCCCATGGCATTTACTGCATCACGTAGCCTGCTGCGGTGAATAGATGCAGTTGTTCTTTTAAATACCCTGGATGACACGGTAGGTAACCATAGACACCGTGGACATACTCGGTTGAGTAAGATGGGTACCCATGTTTTTCCATTTACTCTGAAAATATCTATTACCATATAAAATTAGAACTACTTACATCTGATATAATTTTCATTCTTATTATTGTATTTGTAATGTAGGGGCGAGGCCGAATGTTCTGGATTGAACGAAGATTGCACCGATGGTATCTTTATTCCCGACGAAAGTACTAGTCTAATTGCAATGCAGAGATGCATTGTCGGGGAAGGGCAGACATTCAAGGGACCGCAGGAGTTTAGAAAGTTACTGAAGAATTATTCTATTGCCACTCAGAAACACTTCAGGTACCAAAAGAATGATTCGAGCAAAATTATTGCGGTGTGCATCGACAAAGGCTGTGGTTGGCGTATTTATGCATCCTTCCATGCTCGTGATGCATCATTCAGCATTCGTAAGTGCAATTTACATCACACATGTACTATGAGTCTATTGCAATCAAGAGATCATCCAGCAGCCGATGCGAACTGGATTTCTGAGGTCTACAAAGATAAGATACGTTCTATGCCAGCGTATAAGGCATCCGACATCCGGGAGCATATCCAAACAGATTATGGGATTGACGTGAAATATCATAAAGCATGGCGTGGCAAAGAGAATGCGATAAGGGCAATTAATGGTGGAGGTAGAGACAGTTTCTCACAACTTCCATGGTACTGTCATGCACTTCGGGAGTCAAATCCGGGAAGTATTATAGACTGCGAAGTTGAGCAGGCAACCAAACGTTTCCAACGCCTTTTTGTTTGTTTAGGTGCATGCCGGCTGGGTTTTTTGAGGGGTTGCAGGCCCCTACTCTTTCTTGATGGGACACATATAAAAAACAAACACAAAGGGTGTCTGCTAAGTGCAATTGCAGTGGATGGGGATGATGGGATGTTTACTTTAGCATTTTCTGGTACGTAATTTGATATTAGCTACAGTTGTCATTTTGTTAGAATGCTGGGTATAGCTGTTCGTGTATGCTGTTTTCCATGCTCTCTTTAGGCACGTATGTACCCTTATACGTTGGAAACCTTTGTAGTTATTTGTGTTCTTATTTGTTGACTTGCAGCTGTGTCTACGGAAAATGATGAAAATTGGGAGTGGTTTTGCTGGAAGCTGCGATCTGTTTTAGAATGTGAGGGACGTACGGATTGGAAACAGTACACATTCTTCTCGGATCGGCACTCGGGTTTACTAAAGTCAATCTCGTGCGTCTTTCCCGGAGCACATCATGCGTACTGTCTCCGACACTTAGTGGACAACTTCCGTACCCAGGTATATGTACGTCAATATTAATCTGTAATGAACATCACTGGTTATGATCAGCCATAAAATGTCTTTTTTTTAGGTTATGCGGAGATACCCAATGCATAATAAGAAACGATGGACCGCTGTCTTCAATAAGGCCGCCTATGCTCCGTTGAGGAGAGATTTCGAAAACCACATTAGTTCTGTGGTCGAATCAATGCCATTGGCCAGGGACTTCATTACCCAATCACACCCAGAATGTTGGGCAAATTCACTATTCAGAGGCACTCGTTGGGGAATAATAAATAATAACATTGCTGAGTCATGGAATAGTTGGGTGAGATCCGCGAGGTCAATGCCATTCGTTGGGATGTTGGATACCATTAGAAGGCAAGTGATGGTAATGATGAATGAACGCCGCGAAAAGTCGGAGATAATGCACGGAAGGCTCTGTCCAAAACAGGAGAGCAAGTTGGCACTATCGTACATGGCGTCTCGACGGCTACAGTGCAGTTCATCCTCTAGAACTGTATTCGAGGTAACAGATTGTAATGAAAGATACGCAGTCGATTTGGAGGCGCGCAAATGCTCTTGTCGAGAATGGCAAATGTTCCGATTGCCCTGCAAGCATGCCTGCGCTTGCATTGAAAAATGCAGTATGTCAATTTATGTTTTTTGCGATCTTTACTATAGCATTGAATCTTACAGAAAAACGTACCAGGAGCCAATAAATCCCGTACCGACGCATGATATGGACGTGATTGTTGAAATTCAGGCGGACCAAATTCACCCTCCTCCGTCGTCTGTCCAACCAAGCCGGCCAAAGAAGCGAAGGTTCGAGTCCCAGCAGGTAAAGAATGCACGGAAATGTGGTCGTTGTGGGCGTCTTGGACATAATAGAAGAAGTTGCAAGCAACAAATAGCTTAGCGAACCTTTTTTTCATTGTACATCTTTTTGGCTTCCAGGAGTATATATTAAGACAGTAGGTACATATTCAATAGCTATATTGTAATTGTTTTTTGTGTCTCTAGGATGTAACCGGTTGGATCCATCGACTTATTTGCAGTAGTAAGTGGTATGTAGCCCTCTCACGCAGGTATATGATGAAGTTGTGAAGGTTCATAGTTATATTCTGCAGGTATATTTTTCATGTACTGAGGCATTTGATGATGTAGCTCTGTAGGGACGGATGGTTAATGTAATCTCTAATTGTTTTGAAAGTACATGCTATCCTATTTTTGGGTTATTACTAGGAGGTATAGTTGTTGTATTACACTCGTCATACTAACCAAGTGCATGTGTCATACAACTTAAGTATTTGTTGATGCCTTCTTTAACCATCAGCAGTAAATACATGCTATTTGAAGAAAAAAAAAAAAAGACCGTTTCCCCAGCCACAGGTAACCAGGGCATACATAATTGCAACTGAAGTATAATGTCACGGTTGTTGTAAGTACGCAATAGCTTACAGAGGGTATATGAATAATGATTCCAACATATAGGGTTGCGGTCCGAGTACAAACCATATTTTATTTTGTTTATACAGTATTCTAATTGTATTACCGTGTAATAACTTGGAGGCGTAGCATTGATTAAAATTCAGCACACAGCTACGTACCAGACTTCCATATGCCACACAACTATATTGCGGTTATATTATCGTGTCTATTCTATTGTGTTCTAATTCAATTAACGGGTAAGCGATGTAAGTATAATCTGTGGCCTAAAACACGCCATTCAAGATTATGGGGTTGACGAGCAACACTACCATGGT